ACGCTTACATGGAAGTTGCTCCATGACCTTATGTAGCTTCACCCCCTTATGCAAGTCACCAAGTACACCCTGCCACAAGCCAACCTGAAAATGAGAAGGACAAACAAAATATGACATCTCAGCCCATATGGAGTATCATTTGTCATTTAATATGGCACATGAATGCTACAGAAAAAGTCTTAATGCTTTTACATTTTACAACAGGTAGGCTATTCTAAAGGGCCTTAATACCTTAAAGGTTTTACTGGTCATTGACTGTAATAAATTTCATTCAATACCTTAAAGGAACCAGATCTGATTGGTTCTGGTTAATACTTAGATGGGAGACTGGCAACAAATACTATGTACTGTAGGCTACATTTCAGAGGGAGAAACTAGCAAAATCACCTCTGAGTATTTCTTCCCTAAGAAAACCCTATGAAATTAATGAGTTCACCATATGTCAACAGGCAACTTGAAGGCACGCACATATAGGGCTCATTCCCATTTACATTTAAACCAGTTTGCGATTCACTTTGGCACTGAGTTGGTGAATCGATTCCAGTCAAGGTGCAGTTCCCACTAGGAAAGTGAATTATTTCCTTATGGATTCATGTCTTTTTTTACACGATTGTCATTCTCACTAGATTTGTGCTGTTTCAAAATGCATGTTAGTCATCTACGACAGGGGTAGGCAACCTTTCCCTTTTAAGGGCCGAGGGACTTCAGCTCCCAGAATCCCAGCAGCTATTGGCCAACATGGCTGAGGCTTCTGGGAGCTGAAGTCTCTCAGCCCTTAAAGGGGAAAGGTTGCCTACCCCTGATCTCTGCATCATCAGTGACACAACCATGTGTCATACCGGCAACACATTCAAGAAAACATGTAGGACGACATGATCACATAAAAACTAAATACACTCATACAAATGTAAATGCCATGCTTCTTACTCCTGCTCCAAATATAAATGTCATACTTCTAGTCCTGCTCCAAATGGAGGACCTTTTGGGATTCCTCCTAGACAGGAGGCTGGAATGTAGGACCTAGGAAAGGAAGAGGATGTGTCTGGGAGAGAGTTGGGCTGCCTGCCAGAGAAAGAGGTGCTATGACTTGACCCAGGAACTCCCTGAGCCTCCTCACCCCTTCTGCTCATGGGGGTTACCTTCCACTTTGGTGATGGTAAGCACAGGACCATTGCAGGCACCGAGTGGGGAGACTTTAGCAAGTGGAGCCTTCCTCTGAATTATTTACTTCCTCCCAGCAACCCAAGCTGCTCCCTGACTGCGTCAAGCACACCATTTCACCCTTTCCTCCTCCTCCAGCTGGCTCCTAAGCTGTTATTGTTGCTGCTGTGGAACAGCTGGTTGCTCTCTGGTTAAGGGATGTCTTCTCTATTGGGGAAGGGGGAAAACTTTGGTGACTTTTCTCTTCTTGGGGCTGCTACAGGAGGTGAGTGGGGCGAGCAGGCCGACTGCGGCTCAGCGACACAAGTAACTGCAAATACAATGGAGTGACTATACTGTCAATTTTTTTCTTAGATATATATAATAAATATTATATATATATATACCTATGAGTGCATATATATAATGCACTCACAGGTTACACCACAAAGCACAAAGGCAGTACTGAGGGGGAAGGGAAATGGTGATTTCCCAAAAACCTGAAGCAGGATGGGTTACACTACTATGTCAACCCGCTCTGCCATTAGTCCCTCCCCTCCAGTATGATGCAATTCAGATCTGTCGTTCACTTGTTGAACATGCTTTGGAATCGATTCTTTTCAAAAGAATCACCAAATGATCCGTCTTCAGAAACAGTGGGTTTTTTTCCATTTGCCTCGCTTCACTGTAATTCAAACCAAGCGCAGTCAGTTCTGAAACTGTGTCAACTGTGAATGAGGCACATATAATCTGATCAGCAATTCGCTTTAAATCATAGTGGGAATGAGCCCTTTGAGAGAGGTGATTCTGCACCCACACAGGGCCCTTTCACACTAAACAATTATAGCACTACAATCCCACTTTGACAGCCATGACAGCATTCTATGGAATCCTGGGATGTGCAATTTAGGGAGGTGTTTAGACTTCTCAGCCAGAAATCTCTGATGCCTCAACAGAGTACAAACTCCAGGACTGCATACAATGTAGCCATGGCAGTTAATGTGAAATCAGAGAGCTATAATGATGATAATAATAATAATAATAAAATTTATTTAATACCCGCCTATTGAAAAACCAATCCAGGTGGCTTACAATTAAAATCAAATACAAACCCCAGACAATCCCTCCCCCCATTACATTAATGATGTAATGTGAAAGGGCTCAAATACAAAAATGTTTAAATGCTAGTAAAGACAGTTGAGGGGAGAGACCCTATGTGAATTGCCCATTAGTATGAAGGCATTATATTGCCTTATAATTTTGCTTATTTGAAAGCTTGGGTTGTTTTTTTAAAGATGTATTGACAGGTGTAGTCAGACTCAGAACTAAGCCACTGTTTAGCAGAGAAGAATGTATTGAGATCTTCAATAGATGTAGGAGAAAGGTGGTGGTGTCAGCTCTGCAGTGTGCTTGCATCTGATCCTAAGAGACAATAAAGAGCTAATGTCCTTCCTTTCTCTTTCGGAGAATGCCATAAGTTTAAAGAATGAACGTAAGCTCAAACATATTACAGCACCATCACAGTAACTTAAACTGGGAAATATTTACAAAACATATTGGGTCTGGCAAAGGTCCTGGAAGGCTTCAATGAATACATAGCCCATGACTTTGTCAGGCTGATCACTAGACTCCCATGCTCACTTGATGCTTCATAGAAGCTAATGGCAGAAAATAGCTGTCTGATAGCTACGAGAAGTAGAGAAACAGCTTAGTGTGCATTTGGCAGTTTGGTGATTCAAAATGACAGGAAAGAATTTGATAGTTTCCAGACTAGCCTCTCAGTCGCCTCTCATCAATTGCCCCTGCTTTGTTTTAATAATTAAAATGTACTTTTTATTGTGGATGGGAGGGTTTATGGGATATGATGTTTTTACTGTATTTTAATGCTGTTTTATTGTTGTTAGTCGCTTCATCTGTTTGGAGAGGCGGGATTTATTATTATCATTATCATTATTCTCTTTTCTTCTTGTCAGAAGTAAAGGTTGGGTCCAACTTTAAGTGGCTACATGGTTATTCTCCAACAATCTGAGAAAAATTGTATTGTCTTTTTATTGCAGTAATATTTGTATGTTTCCTGTACTTTCTCATCCCAAGAAAATTAGGCTGCAAAGCAAGGCACACTTATTTAGGTGTAAGTTAATAGAGGCCAATTGTGGCCCCTGAAGATGTTTTTGTTTAATTTCCCCCCCCCCATTAAAAAAATGTTTATGGAAATTATTTTGCACAAAATCAAAACAAATTTATAATAATAACTAACATACATAGATAGCACTGTTTCCCTATGTTGCATATGATGGATAATTCAAAGATATAAGTGGGATAGTTTGTATATGACAGGATCTTGTAGCACCTTTGAGGCTAACTGATGTATATGAAAGTTTACACCCAGTGATATGTTTTTTTTTCTATTTTCTTGTTTTTCTTCCCTCAGTAAGTTTTATGGCTCTAACTCCTCTGATCCTTCATCATTGGCTATGTTGGCTGGCATTAATAGGAGCTGCAATTCAACAACAACTGATGGCCACAGTCAGGGTTAATCCCTGTTCTAGGGAGTTTATCACACAGGAGGAAATTAGGAGTTTAAACAGTAATTAACCCGTAAAAATTGCATAATTGACATTAATACGCAATTAAAATGAAATTAACTCAAGACCCATTATCCCATGAATAACCAGGGAATAACCAGGCAATAAACAGCAAAAAGTCATTCACAGGAAAATAATAATAATAATAATTAATAATAATAATAATAATAATAATAATAATAATAATAATAATAATAATAATAATTTATATCCCGCCCTTTGGAAACCCAATCAGGGCGGCTCACAACCATAAAATCAAATACAATACCCAAAACCCAATGACCCCTCCCCCCATAGACCACAAGGTTGCGAGTTCAAATCCTGTGAATGATTTGCTGCTGTTTATTGCCTGGTTATTCACAGGATAATAGCACTTTAATCATGTTTCATCTCAATGTCATGTGAAAACCATTAGCGCAATGGTGGGATTATCATGGGTTATTCACCGGTAATAGCACTTTGAACACAATGTCGTGTGAAAACCTTTAGTGAATTGTGGGATTATCATGTGTTAATCACAGTTTATACTTTCGATTGTTCCCGTGTTAAGTCAGCACTTTTAGGATGAAATTTCTGTTGTGTTGTCTCTGATTTCTTTTCTTTTTTTTCACTTTGGAAATGGACAACAGTATCTGTAGGAGTTAGATTAACCTGTGTTGGTAAGGAAACAAATTACTGTTTGGATTTTGTTCGGCACAAAAGCTTGCACATTTCAGATGTCCAATAATAAGTGGCTTTTTCTGCACATAAAAATGAGGTCTAAAAGCAGGAAGACAGTCACTCATACCCAGTCTTTTGCCTTTTGCCTCCGAGAGCAGTCTTCCACATCCATTTCTCCCAAATACTGAAAAGAAAATGAAAGAAATATCTTTCTCAGTTGTGTTTTGTTTTGTTTTTTTGTAAAACTGATAACGTACCTGTTTTCCACCTTCCTGCACAGCTGTTTCTAACCGGGGGCAGGGGGGATGAAAAGTTTTAGACAGAGGAAACAAAAGGATGGTAGATTGATTACTTCTCTCCTCATTCTAATACCTTTTTGCAACTCTGTATGGTGAGCATGAGTTTCTGAAGTTCGCTGTACTCTGCAAACAACAATTTGCAGATCACTGTGTAATGGCTGGCTGCTTCGGATGGTTTGAGAAAATGATCTTCACAGATCTGAAATGGAAAGTTAGCCATCAGCTGGATTCATATCTTCAAGATTTATATTGGCGTTCATATTTATCTCAGTTCTAAAGAAGACACAGGGCCTTTTTACACTACAGTATACAGCTAGCCTGCATGGCACAGTGGTTTGAGTGTTGGACTACATCTCTAGAGACCAGAGTTCAATTCCCAGCTCAACCGTGAAACTCACTGGATGACCTTGGACAGGCTACATGTTCTTAGCCTCAGGGGAAGGCAATGGCCAAACTCCTCTGATCAAATCTTACCAAGAAAACCCCTTGCCAAAAAAGCCACTTTAGAGTCACCAAAAGTCAGAAATGACTTGAAGGCACACAGTATGGTTAGAGCACTATGAGTCTGCTTTAACTAGCATGGTTCCAGACTATCAAAACCTGATATTTAGGGTTTAAGGAAAGGCATCTAGAATTCTCTTCCAAAGAGCTCAAGTTCCTCACCAAACTAAGAAACAAAAACAAGCAGGATCCCACAGGATACAGCTATAGCAGTTAAAATGGAATCATACTGCTATAATGGTGTAGTGTGAAAGTGGCCATGGTAAACAAAAAGAGTGGGACAGGAAGGTAATAGACCTAGTGCACATTGGGGGAGATCACAACAGGCTATAAAAGACACTATTTTGTCTTCAATCCATCAGAACTGGCATGGAAGGAACAAGTGAAGGATGTCTCCATACTCAGCAATTAGCTTTCTGCCATATGTATATATCCTTTTAATCATTTATTATTTCATCAAAAGAGACCATGGGCCAAACAACACTTCCTTCCCCCACCCCACAGTGACTGCTCTGGATGATGCAGGACCCAATCTCCTGTTCTGATCCAATGTGTCTCAAGGCACAGCCAGACATTTTTACCTTTACGCAGTAGACGTGCAAATTCCAGTAAGAAATATCAGTGAAGGCAGTATCCTTGAGCAGTAATATAGGTACATGGGATAGGTACAACAGTAATCTGTGATAAATTTTAGCAGTGCTAAATTTAAATCCAAGCAATGCCATTTTCTCCCTACTTAATCAGCATCTTATCCTGCATAAAAAGCCAGCAATGCCATTAAGACCTCCTGCATAAGCCAGTTTGCTTGTTCTTCTTGCCCTCCTTTTATCAGATAACACAGTGAAGATTTAAGTCTTATTAAAGTGTCACTAAACTGTTTTAAATATTAATACAAATATTTTTCTCATATTATCCTCAGAACACACTGGAGTTTCAGTACCAAGTTAAAGAACACCTCAAGTTGTCAAACTGGGGAAACAGTGAAAGAAAAATTTTACCTTGATTATATCTTGGAGAGCAATGGCTGTTTTTGTGGTCTCTGTGTTCAGTTTGAGCATAAAACATATTAGCTTCTCCAGGGACTCACTCAACTCTCTCTCCATATGACTTTCAATTCCCCAATCCAAAGATTTATAGATGAGCCTTCCCAACAATTCTGCCAGCTACAAAGGAAGTCCAGAGAAACCACCTTAATTCTTGGTATGAGGATTGCTTACTTATAAGCAATACACCAATTTGTTTTAGAGTCACATTACATGAAAGTGTGGCTCTGCAGCCATAGCATCATCTACTGGGCTGGAGTTTATGTGTCTGGGAATAGTTGGGGTTAACACCTGTGCCTGGAGGACCATATTAAGATCAACTGGATTGGCAAGAGAGGGATGTGGTGGGATTCATTGTTGCTGATGCTTCTGGAGCATTCCCAGCATATAGGGCAGGCCTGCACAACATACGGTCCAGGGGCCACTTGCAACTGACCAAAGGATTTGGGTGGCCCAAACAATGTGAAACAACTTCATGACTCCTTCACTGCCTGGCTTTCTTCCGAGGAGAGAACCAGGTGATGGAGGAGGAGGAGGACAGGTGAACATTTGCCCCTCGCTGGTAACCTC